GTATGGATATACTGCAGTGTGTTTAACCATTCAGCCCATTGAGGGCATCTGGGTTTCCAGGTTTTAGCTATTAAAAAGAAAGCTGCTGTAAACGTTTGTGATAAGGTTTTTGTGTGATTATAAGTCTTTATTTCTCTTGGATAACCCTCCTCCCCCGAAATACAGTTGCCAAGCTGCATTGTAGTTGCATGATTAGTTTTTTAAAGAAAATGGCAAACTTTTTTCCAGAGCAACTGTACTATTTTGTATTCCTACCAGGACTGTATGAGTGATCCAGTTACTCTGCATCCTGCCAGCATTTAGTATTTTTACTATTCTTTATTTTAGCCAGTCTGATAGATGTGTGGTGATATCTCATTATGGGTTTTTTCCCCCCCAGTATTTTATTGGGGAATTTGGGGAGGGGAGCAGTGTTGGGGAATTGGGGAAGGGGAACAGCCAAGTCGTTGTCCTTTAATCTTGGTTGTGGAGGGTGCAGGTAGCTCAGCTCCAAGTCTAGTCGCCATTGGCAGCTCACGGCAGCTTAGCTCAAGGTGCTGTATTCAATCTTAGGTTGGGGAGGGATGCGCAGCCCCCAATCCCATGTGGGTGTCGAACCGGCAGCCTTGTTGTTAGGTGCACGTGCTCTCACCAGCTGAGCCAGCTCAGCGGCAGCTCAGCTCCGGTGCAGCTCACTGGCCCATGTGAAAATTGAACCGGCGACCCTGTTGCTCAGAGCTCGCGGTCTTAACCAACTGAATCACTCGACCGGCCCTCATTGTGGTTTTAATTTGTATTTCTCTCATGGTTAGTAATGTGGAATCTCTTTTCATGTGCTTATTTGCCTTCTGTGTAGCCTCTTAGGTGAAATATCTCTTTATGTCCTTTGTGCATTTTCTAATTGGATTGGTTTCTTTTTTTAATATTTTGAGTTTTACATTACTAATCCTTTGTCAGATACGTGGTTTGCAAATATTTTCTCCCACTCTGTAGCTTGACTTTTCATTCGCTCAAAGGGGTCTTTTGCAGAGCAAAATTTTATAACTTTGACGATGTCTGGATTTATTTATTTTTCTTTTTATGGATTGTGCGTCTGGTGTTAAGTCTAAAAACTCTTCATGTAGCTTTAGGTCTAGAAGATTTTCTCTTATGAATTTTTCTAAAATTTTATAGTGTTACATTTTATATTTAAGCCCATGATACATTTTGAATTAATTTTTGTATAAAGTATGAGATTTAGGTTGCGGTTTATTTTCTTTTGTCTGTAAATGTCCAGTTGCACCAGCACTAATTGTTGAAAACGCTATCTTTCCTCCATTGAATTGCCTTTGTACTTTTGTGGAAAATCACTTGGGCATATTTGTGTGGCTGCATGTTCAGGTTCTCTGTTCTGTTTTGTTGATTTGTAATATGTTTTTATTCTTCTACCAATACTGCACAGCCTTGATTGCTATAGCTGTATAATCAGTATTAAAATTGGATTACATCACAGAAATGGCAGCGTGAGGAGTGCTTCTTGAAATCTCCCCTGGAAGATACACCAAACTGAACAGCTATAATTTAAGAAAGGATTCCCTGCGTGGCACACAGGCACGTCTGAGAGACCTGCAAATCGAATCTCCTAAAGGGGAGGAAGACAGGGGGAAGTGCAGAGACATGGGCTGCGAGCTACAGGACACTGACCGGAGCTTGGAGCTCCCTGCAGTCCAGAGCTTACCACAGTTATGGGAGAGGGAAGGATTCAGGCTGGAGGTGCACTCCCTGTAGCCCATAGTCCTGCCTGAGGGATCAGCATATAGTACAGCTGAACCCAATGCTTGTGGCAGAGACCTCGGAGCAAAGACTGAATACAGAATGGGGAGAACGGTGGTTTAAGCCCTCACTGCCAGGCAGAGAACAGATAACAAAGACACGGAGCCTGGCCGTCTTCCCTTCTCCCTCCCAGAGTTTGTCCCACTCCCACCCTTCCAGTGTTAGAAACGGGATCCAGAGGAAACAGTAGCAGTGTCAGATTAAAGGACAATATCTACAGCTTTGAGAACTGCAACCCCACAGCCACAGACTCACAGTGCAACTAATTCCAGCGAAAGGGAAGGAACTGTAGGGGCAAGACAACTGCGGGCTGGTAGTTGCCATTGCTCGGAGCCACCAGCTGCCTCTCAGAGCCCACCCCTCCCCCACCTTTCTGGGCGGTGCCTGCAGGGGCTACCAGAGCCGCTGAGACACACGGGCTCTGCATCAGGCTGCAGGGGGGGCATTGGGACTTCAGAAGCTCAGAACTCTTATCGCCTTCCACGTCCTCCCATGGAGGCAGTGCCCTGAGACCCAGGTGACCCGTTCACCGAGGAGAAACCCACCAAGAACTGTATGACTTCACTGATATGTAGGATAACTGAAAGGAACAAACAAACAAGACAAACAAAAACTCAGACACAGACAACAGTTTAGTGGTTACCAGAGGGTAAGGGGAGAGGGGAGATAATAGAAGAGGGTAAAGGGGGTCAAATATATGGTGATACAAGGAGAATGGACTCTGGGTAGTGAATACACAATGTGATATATAAATGATGTATTGCAGAATTGTACACTTGAAACCTATGTAATTTTACTAACCATTGTCACCCCAGTAAATTTTAATAATAAAGTATTAAAATTTCCATATAAATTTTAGAGCAGCTTATGTCTACAAAATATCTTGCTGGGATTTTGATGGGAATTTTAAGCTTCTGTATCAGTTTGGTCTTCACTGACACTTTAGGGTGGGGATGAGGTTTCATTACTGGTTGTTTGGTTGGTTTGGAAATTCAGGGTCCCTACTTGGATTTCTCTGATTCTACCTTGGTGGGGCGTGTAGGATGCCTCATTATAAACTCAGTTGGGAGAAGTCAGTCTCCCCACTTGGCCTTTGTGGCTTGTCTGGAGGTGGCATTATAGTTTTGTGTTTGTAAGTTTTTTTCTTGTTTTTTAGTGGAATGGTTATTGCCTAAAAGTTTTGTGTCTTGCTAGGCCGACCACTTTCTGGCTCCGACAACAGGCTTTGTTGGGGGTTTTTATTGTTTGTGTCTGTTGCTACCCCTGGGCTGCTGGCTTCTTCAGCTCCAAGTCGGATATAGGAGGCAAAAGAAACCCCTAGAAACTCATCATTGTGTTGGTCTTTAGGTTCCAAGGCCCCTAGCCTGTCTGCCTTCTTTCTCCACTTGTCGAACTCTTGTGTTTTATACATAATGTCCAGAGTTTTAGTTGTGCTTGGCAGGAGGGATAGGGAAACGTATGTCTGTTCTATCTTCCTGGAAGTTGTGTCTACATTTCTTTTAATTACCAAAATTTTGAGCATTCAGGAAAGTAGAATAGGACAATGAACACCAACATATCTGGGTCCTATATTTAAGAGTTGTGTTTTCTCATATGTCTTAATCTATTTTTTTAAAAAAATTTATTGGGAACAGTGTTTTTTTCCAGGACCCATGAGCTCCAAATCAATAGTTGTCTTTAATCTGTTGTGGAGGGTTCAGCTCCGTTTCTTATGTGGGAATCCAACTGGCAACCTTGGTGCCATGAGCCTGCGCTCTAACCACCTGAGCTAACCGGCCTCCTGCTAATTTTTGTTTTAGTAAATAATAGACATAACGACATCTCACCTCCGATATTCAATGTGCATCTCTAAAAAATAAGATTTTATTATTTATTTATTTTTTAAGAATGAAATCTTTTTTTTTTTTTTAATTGGGGAATTGGGCAGGGGAACAGTGTTGGGGAATTGGGGAGGCGAACTAGCCAAGTTGTTGTTCTTCAGTCTTAGTTGTGGAAGGCACCAATTGCCATCTGGCTGCCCGTCAGCAGCTGGTGGCCTCTGAGGTCAAGGTGCTGTGTTACAGCCTTAGTTGCAGGTGGGCATAGCCACCATCCCACACGGGAGTTGAACCAGCAGCCTTGTTGCACCAGCAGCATGCACTCTATCCACTGAGCCATCTGGGTGGCAGCTCAGCTCAAGGTGCCAAGTTTAGTCTTAGTTGTGGGTGGGCATAGCCACCATCCCATGCGGGATTTGAACTGGCAGCCTTGTTGTTAAGAGCGTGTGCTCTATCCACTGAGCCATCTGGGCGACAGCTCAGCTCAAGGTGCCGAGTGCAGTCTTAGTTATGCGAGGGCATAGCCCACCATGGAACAGGCAATCTTGTTGTTAGGAGCACGTGCTCTCACCAGCTGAGCCATCCTGCCACCTGTTGGCAGCTCAGCTCCAGCGCAGCGTCACTGACCCATGTGGGAATTGAACTGGCGGCCCTGTTGCTCAGAGCTCGTGCTCTTAAGCTAACTCTTAACCAACTGAGCCACTCGGCTGGCCCTAAAAAAAATTTTTAAAATGATATATATTAAAAAAATGTATTCAGTGTTAAAAAATAAAATTGGAAAGATAAGGACAGTACTTTATATGTAATGACTTATAGTAATACCGTAATATTATCTGATACCAAATTCAGAGCCAGCCAAGTGACTCACTTGGTTAAGCGCTCACTTGAGAGTGCGAGCTCTGATCAACAGGGTCGCTGGTTCAATTCATGGCCAGAGTTGAGCTGCCGCTGAGCCACCAACAGGTGGCAGGATGGCTCAGCTCAAAAAACAAACAAACAAACAAAAAAACAACAAATTCATATTGTGATTTCTCTAGTTGTTCCCAAAATGTTTTAAAGCTGTTGGGCCAAGTAAGATCTAAAGAAGAGCATGAATTGCATTTAATTGTTAAGACTTTTAGGTCTCCTTTGATCTTGAACAGTTCCGCTCCTGTTATGGATTTGTGGAAGACACAGTTCCATTTGAACCTTGGAATGTCCCATTGTCAATAGGATTTGCCTCATTGTTTCCTTGTGTTTCTTTAGCTTTGCATTTTCTGTAAATTTGAAGTTAAATCTAAAGGCTTTAATGGATTCAAGTTCAGCAAGGATATTTTGTAAGTGATGCTATGTTAAACAGATTTTCTGAGGAACTCAAGCTTGTATCATTTATAACCTTTTCATATGATGAAGAAGATGCCTTCTGCATCCTGTGATTCACTGCTGGACGACATAGAAGATATTGTGTCAGAGGAAGATTCAAAGCCACAAGATAGGCTTTTTGCAAGAAAGCATGTTGTTCCAAAAGTGCGAAGGCGAAATACCCAAAAAGATTTACAAGAGGAAAACAGTCCACCAAGTGATAGGTAAGCTTTTTTTTTTTTTTTTTTAAAGTATATTCAGTATCATTCTAGGGGAGAGGCTAGCACTATTGGACTGTCATATGCACAATATATCTTTTAAAAAAAATCTGTGAACTTTTTAGAAGAAGTATGTAGATTTTTTTTCATTTCAATGTTTTTTAATTTAGCAAAGTAATTGGTTAAAAAAAGGTGTCAAATTGCATGTCCTTGAAGGCAGGGCCTAGAACAGTATTTGGCATAAAGATAGGACCCCCTGTTCCCCTCCCTTTGATGTTATTGCAGTTGGTATGTAATTTTGTTTATTTCCAAATTAAAGTTTTTACTGGAATTTGTGGTTCTTATGAGACAGAGGTGGTTGGGACATTTGATTTTTCTTAGCAAATTTACAGTTGCTTATGGATCAGGTAAGGCTTTGAGCACAAATAAATTGTGCTGTTTACAGTATTATGTTAGGTCTTTAGTGAAATTCTACAGCCTAGCAAGACGTGATTATGCAGTTGTATAGTTTTTTTTTTTTTAGCTGAGCCATCCTGCTACCTGTTGGCAGCTCAGTGGCTGCTCAGCTCGGGCCGGGACTCGAACCGCTGTTGCTCAGAGCTCAAACTCTTGAGCGAGCTCTTAACCAACTGAGCCACTCAGCCGGGCCTGCAGTTGTATAGTTTTAATATGCCTATATTTATTCTAGTAAATTGTTGACAATGTTAATATACTGATTATTTGGTTTGGAACATTAAACTTTTAAAATCTATGAACTTAAAATTTGCTTATATTTTGATGACTGAAGTTTATCAAATTTGTCCTGAACATGTCCTTAGGGTAATTTCTGTTTAATTATAAATGATTAGGGCAATCTAAGTTGAAAGCCCTTTATTTCTCCTTCCTGAAATGATTACATTTTTAGAACTCTATTTTTACATATGAAGCACTTTTAATAATGCTATAGGGTGAGAGTTTTTCCATTTTGATTCAGTTATTTAAATCTGTAAGTTATAAAATAAAGATTATAACTAGCATATCGTGTTTTTATGAGCAGATAGATGTATTTAGTTTTTCTTTATTTGCCATTGTCACTGGAAACATTTTCTTTGCTATATTTATTTGTATGTACCTTTTTAGGAGTTAAACTTCGTGGTAGTGCATTAGTAGTACTGAATTTAAAATACAATTCAGAGAAAAGGTAGACATTTTTATGTAGAGAGTCTTACTGTCTTAGGATTCTGTGGTTATTTTATCTTGATTTTAGACTTTTGGTGTAACAACAGGTCATGGATTAAGTTGGTGCATTGAATAGCTTGTGAATGGGTTATAGTGAATGTATTTTTTTTTTCATAATTTGGCCAGAAATCATCAAGTACTTTTTATTTTAAGAATCCCTTAATGAGACTTACTTTTTTTTTTTTCATTGATTGTTCAATAGCACTATTCCAGGCATACAGAAAATTTGGATACGAACATGGGGTTGTTCTCATAATAATTCAGATGGAGAATATATGGCTGGACAACTAGCTGCTTATGGATATAAAATTACAGGTAATGAGATCTGTAATGTATTTTATTGATTAAATTTTTCAGAGCTAAGTTTTTTAGAGGTGTGTATCCTAGCTTCAGCAATTAAAGGATATTTTTGCATAACTTAATTATTTTAAGGCAAAACAAAAAGGTAGTTATTGTACATTGCCTACATAACTACAGATATCATATTTTAAACAACTTTAAAAAACTGTTTTGAAATAAGACTTACAGAAAAGTAGAATTATAGATTTCACATATACCCTTCACCCCTTCCCCTGATATTAACATTTTGCGTAATTATAGTTTAATAAACTAGGAAATTAATACTGTGATACTGTTATGTAAACTATAGGTTTTTTTTTGAATTTGGCAGTTTTCCCATTTATATTCCTTTTCTGTTCCAGGATCCAATCTAGGATCTCACCTTTCATTTATTTATAATGTCTCCTTAGGTGACTGTTCCTCAGTTTTTTCTTATCTTTTATGACCTTGAACTTTTGAAGAAAACTGTTTATTTTGTAGACTATCCCTCAACTCGGGTTTATCTGATGTTTTCTCTCAATTAGAATAAGGCTATGCATTTTTGGCAAGAGCACAAAAGTGATATGCGTATTATATCCTCTGCGCATCGTATCAGAGGGTTCATGATGTCAGTATGTCTTATTACTAGTGTAATAAGAAATCTGTCTGCCAGATTTCTTCATAGTATAGTTAATATTGTTCTTATTGTAATGAATTAATATTCTGTTTCTCTTCAACATTTTTGTCTATTTTAGTATCTGTCAGTGGATCTTGTCTGCAACAGTTATTACTACATTATTTGCTTTACAGTGATTTTCTGATTTCTTCTTTCTTCCACATTTATTAATTAGAATTCTTGTGAAAGGAAGAGCTATCCTTTCTTTCCCCGTTTACTTATTTATATCATTATGGACTCATGGATTTTTTTTTTATTCTGTGGGTTGTAGTCTGATACTATTATTATTTTGCTGCTCATTGTTCCAGCTTTGGCCATAGGACCTTATTCAGGCTGGCTCCTGTGTCTTCTCAACATGCCCCCATTCTTATTTGAGCACTTATTTTCTGGCACCACAAGATGTTCTAGTCTCATATTTCGCTTCCCCAGCCTTGGAAGCAGCCACTTTTCCAAGGGGCCTTGATCCCTTTATTAGGAGAATGGTGTTTAAAACCAGATCAGAGATCTGGACGCTAGGTAAGCTCATTGCCACTGTAAACTGTCAGGGCTCCTGGGTCCTCTCAGTGAACTGAGCTAGGAAATGTAGGCACACACGCATCTGTATCCATTACTGTGTCTATATGTATGTATGTTTGATGGCACCATAATTTGCATGCTTTGTGACAGGCACTGGCCCAATGCTTCATATATGTTATCTTGCTTAGTTCTTTATATGAGGAAATAGTGACATCCCCACCTTTGCAAGTGATAATGGAGAGGTTGTGTCTTACCTTAAATCACAGAGGCAGTGAATGCTCTGTCACTCCAAAGCACTGCTCTGAACCACTGGTCTGTACCTCACAGTTGCCATTGTATGTATAATGGGTAAGTCCTAACTTCAAGGTAGCATGTGAGGATTGGAGACTTATTCCTTTCATAATATTGTTTTCTTCAGCAACTAAATGATCATATGTCCTTAACTCTGTGTTTTAGATAACTTATTCTTTAGATAGAAAAGTCGGCATTCATACTTTTGTTCTTTAGGATAAAATACTCAAAATATGCTTTTAGAATTACTTCTCTGTATTCATTAGTAATCTTTGGTATAGTTTAGCTTGGACTTGCCTTAACACATAATGATGGTACAGTTTGAGTATTAAGAAAATAACCTTTAAGATCATTTCCTAAAACATTAAACGATCAGAGCTTGCCTTTCCTAGACGATATTAATTATCTAACACACTTTAATTTAAATTTTAGTCCATTAGCAGTTTGTGTTTGGTCTTAGTACTCTTCTGTGTGAAAGAACAGTCCTGTTATTTATATAAGAATATTAAGCTTTGTTATGTACACCTATTTGGGGATCGTATAAAGGGAGAATTAAGGAAGCAATCACTTGAATATGAAATTAATTTTTCTTATTAATGTAGTATATTACTTTTATATACTTGCATTACTTGTATATGTTTGTATTAATTTTGTATGCTGATGATTACCCCACTTTAGAAATGCATCTTCAGTTTTTAATTTCAGTTTGGCTTGCATGTAGCAGACTGTGGGATCACTTTCCTCACTTATCGAGATGCTATAGGCCCGGGAAATATGAACAATATTAGCCCTGTAAAACATTTAAGAAGGAAATCTCCACAGATTTTATATTTAGATTCAATATGCCAGTAATCTCTTTCATTATTGTGGAATAGTGGGAGCTTACATAGATTATATTACTTTATTTTTT